GGATAGACCTAAATGTCTTGCATGTTGAGACACCATAATAAATATTTGCTGCATTGGATCAAACGTCAATAATCTGTTTTGTTCCTGTGAACATTATTATTGGAATTCCCAGGTGACACTAGTGGTAAAGAACCCCCCTGCCAATGCAGGAGACGCAGGAGATGTAAGAGACATGGGTTCGATCTCTAGGTTGGAAAGATCCCCTGGAGGATGTAATGGCAACCTGCTCTATTATTCTTGCTTGGAGAATCCTATGGACAGAGGAGCCTAGCGGGCTACAGTCCATGGGGTGGCAAAGAGTTGGACACGACTGAAGTGACTTCAGCACGTACGCATGAACATTATTATTAGGCTTTCACATTACCTAATATCCTCTGCAGAGAAAGACCCATTTCTCAGCACATTAATCCAACACAACTGGACAAAGGTAACATGATTCTGTAGGGTTCACAAATAAACCCCACCACCTGTTCATTGTCTGCGCAAAGCCGAGGGAGGGGAAAATGTCCTACTTGCCTCACTGTTGTAGTGTCTCCTGGATACCTAATATTGGGAAAAAATGAATTCTTAGGTTCTTCTCACTCAGAGATTTTAGATGTAGAGCTTTGTTCAGCATTCATAAAATATCATTTATCCCAGCTGCTGTTATTTACAATTGGGTTTATTTTCCATTCCAGCCTTCATGAATGATGTGCAGATACTACAGGTGTCTTCTGTTGGCAGGCCGTTTGGGGTCAGAGAGATGTTGTATGGAATGAAACTACTCCCAGAGCCTTGTCTTGGGACATGGTGTTTGACAGCAGCAGAGCCGGACCCGTGCTACACTGGGACAGGGAGCCATTCGCCCACTCAAATGGGAGCCCTGCTCTGACATCACTACAGGAAGTGTTAGCCGCCTAGTCGTGTCCGACTCTTTGCAAACCTACGGACTGTAGCCTGCTAGGCTCCTCTGTCCATGGGATTCTCCAGGCAAGAATACTGGAGTGGGTTACCATTCCCTTCTCCAGGGGATCATCCCAGCTCAGGGATCAAACCTGGGTCTCCTGCATTGCAGGCAGATTCCTGAAGGTCTGAGCTGTCTAAGCCACTAGGGAAGCTACATTTTTGCTACAGGAAAGAAGCTACCAATTCAAGTAAGTGTATTTTTAGTTTTCAACTCAAGCTGAAAAGTCAAAGACACCTGGGTCCTTGGCCCTTCCTCGCTGCTGCAGATAAATAACCTGGTGAGCAGTAGACTTCTTGTCTTGCCACGTGCCTGGCTATTGAACTGGGATCACGGTGCTGGTTGAGAGGCTGAGGCCGTGATCGCTCACTGCGGTGCGTGCAGGGCAGGAGGCTGACAGCTGGAGGGCCCCAGGCGAGAGGGCCTCCTTGCACACACCGCCTCTCCTGCCAGGGGTGTGCAAGGAGGGTCTGCATTTTTACCTTCTATCACACACTGGAGAAGGTCGGGGACATTCAGAGGGCCCCCATTTGGGAAACCAGGAATGGAGGTGAAGACACTGTCAACTCAGGCCACCTCAATCTCAGCTTCAGCCCCAACCCCCTGGGGACAAACACCTCCCACACTCCCTCTCTATCAGAGTAGCCTGAACCTCAGCAGGGCGACTTATACACAAACTTCCGTTCACTCACAGACGACCAGCAAGTGCTTACATGCTGGACTTCCTTGGTGGTCCAGTGGTCAAGAACCCACCTGTCAAATATTCAGAGAAAAATGTGGCCCGAAAAGATCCATGCACCCCAATGTTCACTGCAGCGCTGCTTACAATAGCCAAGACATGGAAGCAACCTAAATGTCCATCAACAGAGGAATGGATAAAGAAGACGTGGTACATGTACACAATGGAATATTACTCAGCCATCAAAAAGAATTAAATAAGGCCATTTGCAGCAACATGAATGGACCTAGAGAATGTAAAAATGAGTGAAGTAAGCCAGACAGCGAAGGAGAAATATCACATGACATCCCTTATATGTGGAATCTAAAAAGAAATGATATAAATAAACTTACTTACAAAACAGACTCATAGACTTAGGAAACGAACTCATGGTTGCTGGGGGCAGGGGGTGGGAAGGCACAGTTAGGAACTTTGGGAATGTCCTGTCACACTGCTTGCTATATTTAAAATGGATAACAACAAAGACCTACTGTACAGCACAGGGAATTCTGCTCAACGTCATGTGCCAGCCTGGATGGGAGTAGGGTTTGGGGGCAAATGGATACATATATATGGCTGAACCCCCTTTGCTGCATTGTTAATCAGCTGTACCCCAGTACAAAATATTCTTAGTGTTAAAAAATAATAATTAGAAAAAAAAAAAAGAATCTGCCTGACAATGCAGGGGACCCAGGTTCCATCTCTGGTTGGGGAAGATTCCACAAGCCCGTGCGCCCCAACTACTGAGCCCGTGCTCTGCAACAAGAGAAGCCACCACACTAAGAAGCCCACACGTCACAACAAGAGAAAGCCCATGTGCAGCAACGAAGACCCAGAGCAGCCATAAATAAATAAACAAAAAGTGTTAGAAGTGCTTACATGCCCAATGCTGTGCTTCTCCCACTTTTCTTTAGCTTCAGAACTGCTCACACTCTCTGCACCAGCCATACCAGCCTCTCAAATTGTCCTCCCTCAAGCTACAGGGCCTTTGCACAAGCTGTTTCTTCAGACTGGTGCTCTCTTCCCTGAAGATCTAACTCAGCTCAAGCATCCTCTTCTGAGGCAAACCTTCCTGACCCCTGTGTCGGTCCCCCCATCATGCCCATCTAAGTACTCATGGCAACACGTGTCTCCTGCCTGGCACTTGTCACAGCTGTACCCGTGATGGCTGGTTAATCTCTCCGTCAACTGCTGCTGCCTGCTATGAGCTGAGCATTTGTGTGTGATTTTTTCATTAGTGTCTGTCTCCCCCCAGATCATAAGAAGAACTGGGAATGGTGCTGTCTTTGGTCATCCCTAGAGCCTGGCTCTTGGAGTAGGGCTCCACAAATATTTGTTAAATGACTGAATCCCTGTCAATGCCCCTACCAGCTTCCCTGGTCGCTCAGACAGGAATGAATCTGCCTGCAATGCAGTAGTCCCAGGTTAGATTCCTGGGTCGGGAAGATCCCCTAGAGAAAGAAACGGCAACTCACTCCAGTATTCTTGCCTGGAGAATCCTATCGATGAAGGAGCCTGACAGGCTACGGTTCATGAGGGGTCACAAAGAGTTGGACACGACTGAGCAACTTACACACACACACACACACACACGCGGACACACACACACACACGCACACACCAGTCTTAATGCCCCTTGGGTGCATGCATGCTAAGTCACTTCAGTCGTGTCCAACTCTTTGCATCCCTATGGACTGTAACCTGCTAGGCTCCTCTGTCCATGGGATTCTCCAGGCAAGAATACTGGAGTAGGCTGCCATGTCCTCCTTCCAGGAATTTTCCCAACGCAGGGGTGGAACCCACGCCTCTTACCTCTCCGGCACTGGTAGGCAGGTACAGTACCACGAGCACCACCTGGGAAACCCCTTAGTGCCCCAGAGACAGCAGGAATTTGTATAACCAAGCGAAACATATCGAGATCCGTTAATGAGGGATCCCAGTGTGGTTGCACTGACCACGGCCTGTTCTGGTGGTGAACTGGACTCAAGCGCCACTTTGGGGGGAAAAGAAAAGCCGTGGGGCTGAACTCCTGCCGTTTGGCTGTTTGAGTGCCTTTGTGCTTCACCCACGTAGGTAGTGGTGCTTTGATTTTATAACTGTTGCTTCTGTTAGAGCAACACCCTTATAACTGGCATTTCTTGCACAAAACAACTTTGCAGTTTTGAGTGGAAAACCCAACACCGTTATCCCCACTGTTTTTGAAGTTTCTTAGGGATGCGACCGTAATAGAAAAGAGAACATCTCAGATGAAAAGACGGGAGAGATGCAGACAACTCCACCACCCAGAGCCCAAGCTTACATCATTCGCCCCTTTGAGGCTGTGGGGATGCGAGGGCCACCACAGCTCCTCCTCAGGGCAACGCAGAACTCAAGCCAAACAGCTTAGATCCTCAGACCCCAGCCCCAGATGCTACCTGAGCACCTCCAGCTACATCCCCTCGGAGCTGACGGCGGAGCTGTCACCCTCCTCGGCGGACACACGATCAGGTTGTCAAGGAGACCAGCCACATCCCGGATGGCATGCACCCAGGGCTGGAAGTCAGACTTCCAACGGAGGAGAAAACAACCCATTCCCCTAGTCGGGCCTCAAAGATACGGCAGGTTCAAATGTCACAGCTGATGAGAAAGCTTGAAGCAGGAGGTGAGACACTCTGACTCTGGGTTGGGGCAGTGGTTGGGGAGGCGGGTGGCACTCACCCAGTCTTTTTCTGAAAGACAGTCAGGCTACTCGCCTTGCAAAGGGCTAGAAGGTGGGCTGTGGAGGGAGGTGGGCAGGAGCGGTTTTCTTTTCACAGCCTGTTTCCATGGTGCCTGACAGCCCTGGGCAATCCAGAGCTGGGGAGTCTTGGACAGCCCGGGGGGGCGGCAGGGGGTGCGGGCAGGGCCTTATCTCACCCTGGGCCACCCTCCCTGGCCCATCCTCCAGGCCCGCCTGGGCCCCACGAGTGACAGAGGCCACAGGCAGGCGGGGCCTCCGTCTCGCATCCCCAGGGAAAAGAGATGCGTGGCACAGCAAACAAAGGGCAGAGGAGGGCAAGGGTAAGCCAAGAGCCGAGGTCAGCAGCTCTTATCCCCCCCACTTCCACCCCCTTGCCCCTGCCCTTCAGGAGAGTTTCCCTGAAGACCTGGCAGGGCGGTCTGCCCAGAAGACCTTCTCACTTAAGAACGCGTTCCTTCCCTCCTCTCAGCCCGGACTGCCCGGCCCAGATAACCAGATAAGGGCCTCTTTGGTTTCCAGTGTGTTTACACAGGCTGTAGGCCCACATCTCGGGAAAGGCTCAACCACATCCAGGCAAGCTAGGACACCTCCATGTGGGGCGAGGAGGGCGGATGACTTACCTGCTCCTGGGAGTTCATCACACGCAACTTCATCTGCTTCAGGTACGTGGAGGTGAGGGGCATGTTGTAATCGATGATTCCGGAGACCAGAGGAGACGGAGGCTCGTTTTCTGGCGGAGAGAAGAAAAGGAAGCCCCTTTCAGCCTGTGCAGTGGGCTGCCAGCAGTCTGGCACCCACGTGGGGCACCCAACACGGGGCCCGGGGAGGAGGCCAGGCGGGCAGGCAGTCTCTGACTCATGGAGTGCCCACCGTATCTGGCCCGCGGATGTGAACTGCACGGTGCTGAGAGTGTTTCTCAACTAAGTGACCGTGTTTAGTAAGAGAGTTCACCGTTGAAAACCAGGGATTTCTGGCTGCTTTGAAAAATGGAAGGTCTGGCCGCACAGGGCCCTCACTCTCACATGGCAAACACCCACTGCCGCTGAGCCTCCCCTTTTAGACAGAGCTCAAGGGTCTGTTCTGCTGCAGTGTGCACCCGTGCCAATTGCCCTGCACACTTGAGCTCAATGATGATGCTTGCCAGGTCCCTGAAGTCAAATATGTAAGTTTCCTACGCAGGTCTAAGCCCACTCACATGCCACACTGCCCCACGCTGACCCTCACCCCCCACAGCATCCTCTCTAAAGCTGCCAGGGACCACCTGGCTCATGGGTCTGGGCCAGGCCTCCAGTCCACCCAAATTTTAGTTCCTCTTTAATCACACGGACAGGAGCATTGTTCCTCCCTTTTATTGCTTTCTTGTCCTGAAGATCAAAGTAACACATATTCCTTTTGTAGAGCATTTACAAAGTGTGGAAAGATGTAAAGAAAAAGAAAAAAAGTCCATAATTGCACCAAGCAGCTTGGCATATGCTTCTGTTTATTTTTTCCTCTGTGATTTCTTTTTACATACTTGATATCATAATGCATACCGAGAATAACAGTCTGCTTTGAAACCTTTTCTTTTTGCTTAACATTTTGTCATAGGCATTTCCCCTACCATCAAAAATCTCATTTTGCTTTGCAAATATAATTTTTATATTCCTGTATTGTTTTATCGTATGTTCCGTAAGTTACTCCCTTACGACTGGCTACTTAGGCTATTTGCTATCAGGGGCTACTTATAAACACTGCTGGGAACATCTCTATGTGTGAATACTGGTCTGTATTTGCGATCAATTCCTTTTTAGACCAGATTCCAAAACATGGAATTCATGGGTCAAATGGTAGCAACATTTAACAACTTTTTTTGTTTTTCTTGACCTCACCTAGAGGCCTGTGGGATCTTAGTTAGAACAAGTTAGTTATAGAACAAGGATCGAACCCACATCTCCTGCACTGGAAGATGGAGTCTTAACCACTGGCAAGACCCTACTCAATGACTCTTTAAAATGTTTGGTCACACTGTCTTCTGCGAAGGCTCCTGCAGTGGACCCAGCCTGACACTGTGCTGTGCATCTTAGGTGTCACTGTGGGTACCATTTAGGAGCGATTGCAAGGGCGCAGGAGTAAGTCAACAAGATGGGAAGCATGATTCAAGGGAAGCCCATTGCCACTCTTTCCACTCCAGCCTCCCCTTCAGATGTCTCCTGCTGTTACCAAGCTGGAAACCCTGAAGCCACCTGCTGGGACCCGTCACACAAAGCAGGGCCTCATTTCATCATTTAGTCACTTGACCTGGCTTCACCCTCTGTCCAGGGAGTCATCGTGGTTACCTGTTTTCTGGCTGCCTCCTCCCCCAGCCCCTAAGGGCGCCGGGCCTTCAACCCACGTCCTCCTTGGCACCTAGTTCTATCTGTGGGCCGGGGTTGGGGTGGCGTGAGAAGTAGGGGCGACTTTCCGAGGAGCTGAAGCCTGCCTGCCGCCACTGGCACCACGCCCAGGAGGACGCGCTGGAGGGAAGCCGCGACCGGTGAGCTGGAGGAAGGCAGGGATCTGCTGAAGCTGCCACTCAGAGCCGGGGCCCAGGCCAGCTGGCCCCCACAACCTTGAAAACACTGCTGAGTGAAAGAAGCCAGACGCCATGGACAAACACTGGGTGATTCCATGTGGATGGGACGGCTGGAACAGGCATGTTCACATAGACAGAAAGTAGAAGAGGGGCTACCGGGGCCAGGGCATCTGGGGATGGGAAGTTACTGCTTCACGGGGCTACAGGTTCTGTTTGGCAGGACGAAAAGTTTTGGAAAATAGACGGTGGTGATGACTGCTGGGCAGTGAGTATAACTATAACGCCACTGAGTTGTACACTTAAAATTTATTAAAATGGCAAGTTTTGAATTATATTCTATCACAATAAAGAAAAATGGCTCCCACAAACAAAAGGGCCAAACTAGCCAGGGGGCACCAGGGCAGTTCCTACTTGGCGAGGATAGAACAGCCTCGCAGAGAACAGGGTCCATGCGTCTTGAGGTAGTGCCCCTCTGGTGACTGTACAGCTTTAATAACATTTTCTATCCAGTTTCATAAAAACGTTTTGCTTTTTTTAAAGAAAAAAAAAATGTGGCCGTGCTGTGCGGCTTGTGGAGGGAGTTTAGTTCCCAGACCAGGGATCGAACCCAGTCCCCTGCAGTGGAAGTGCTGTTTCCTAACCACTGGACCACCAAAGGAATCCCTTGTTGAGTTTTTGAAAGCCATGTTGTCACATGCAGAAATGTTCGTTCTTCCAGAACTCACTAACAGGGAGTCTCAGGAACCGGCTTGAAAAATGGGTCAAACCTTTTCTTCCATTAAGGGAGCCCCTCCTGGTTCTGTGGCAGAGGGCTTCTCTGACACAGCGCACAGACACCCAGCGCCATGAGGAAACTAGAATTCATGTTTGTGACTGTGGGTCCCCTTCTTGCTGCCCCACCATCTACCCAGATCTGACCACGTCAACCCAGGGGTGGGGCACGCTGGGACCTGCTCACCGCCCCACCCCACCCACACAACTGCACGAGGCCGGACGCGCTGTGTGAGGCAGACCCCGCAGCTACGCTGAGACGTCATGCGAAAGAGCTACGGTTCCTGTTTTGGAGTGCGGGTCTTCAGATGGAGAATGCGGCTGTTGGCATTTTGTTTCCTCAGAGACAAGGCTGTCTGCTGAGAAGTTGCTGGACAACGTGGTATATGAGAAGGGCCCCCCACCCTAAGGGTCCCGGGTCAGAGCCTCAGGTGAAGACTTCATCAGGTGACATGGTGACGCTCTGCATTTCATTGTCATCGGAGGGCAGACACTGTGTTCCTTTACCAATGGTCACCCGTGTCCTGCCTGAAATGCTATGAATCCTTACAAAGAGGTAACTTAAGGAAAAAAAAACAAACAAACAGGGCCTTCGCTGGCGGTCCAGTGGTTAAGAGTCTGCACTCCTACTGCAGCGGGTGAGGGTTCCATTCCTGGTCTGGGAACTAAGATCCCTTGCACCTGGCGGCACGGTCAGAAAAAAAGTAATACTGAAAATATAAAAACAAATAAATAAAAAGAAAAATTTTAAAGCCAAGGTTCAGCTTAGTTTAGGGCAGGGAAAAACCCACAATGACTGGGAAGGTGCTCTTAGGAAGTGGGAGAAGCGGTCTTCCTTGGCCTGTTCCCTCCGCAGCACGTCCACAGATCAGAAACTGCTTCCGGTGCCCAGAGGTGAGCCAGGAGAGCTCAGGAAGAGGAGGTTGGATGCCCTCGTCGGGGGGCGGGGAGCAGGACACCCTGGGCACACAGACGAATCCATCAGATATCCGCGTGCCGTGAAATGCTTGCGTCTGCAGTTCCAGAAGTGAGGGCTCTGTCAGGGAGGCAGGACTTTGGCAGGCGGGAGACATTCCCGGGGAGGGAATGCGCCAGGGAGCTGGCTGTGGGAGGTCAGGGCTCGGGTCACACCGCAGCCAAGAAGCAGGCGGGCAGGTTTTTGGCAGCGAGGGAGCTGCATGGTTCTGGGGCTGATAAGCACCACACACATAGACTCATAGGAAGGAGCTAAGGAATAGGGCCAGTGGGGGTTCCCCGGAGTCACGTGCTCATGTGGGGAGGTGGGGGATGAGCGAAGGTGAACCCATGAACGAGGAAGAAGCAGCTTCCCCGGGTTCTGCTGGACAGGCCAGGTCCCTGTCATGGTCAACACACCCAGGGGCCATGCCCGAGCCACTACAAGGAACCTGAGACCACTGGTGAGTTCAGAGCTAGTAAGGGTCACAGAGCCTAAATAACCCCTTAGGTGGCTGGTGAGAGAGGCAGAGGAATCACCTGAAGAAATGTTTCGACAACTTTTTACCAAGGAAACCTGAAACCAGCCCCAGCACTAGACCTAGCTTTACAGGCCATTGAAAAGAGCCCGTGGTCTACGGCCATACCACCCTGAACGCGCCCGATCTCGTCTGATCTCGGAAGCTAAGCAGGGTCGGGCCTGGTTAGTACTTGGATGGGAAAAGAGCCGGTGATGCAGAGGCTCTCCCCAGGCCAAGCCGAGCACTGACCACATCCTGGCCCCAGTGACATCTGCCAATCAACGCAACTGAGGAGGTGGCACAGATCCTCCAAGTGGAGCACAGGGTGGCAAATTGCCTTGAGTTTCCACCCACGGGAATGGAAGAACTCTTCAGTCCAGACACCGTAGCTTCTGGGTGCCAGGGAAAGAGCTCTCAGGGTCAGGGCTGAGGGGGTGAAGGATGTGTGTGCAATAACGGCCTGGTGCAGAGGAAATGTGGGACCGGCCAACCTGCCACGGGGTTCAGATTTGGAACTAGAGATCCCAGGCCCAGGGCTGGCTTAGAAGGTGATGAAAAAAAAAAAAAACACCTCTCTTCCAGGGAAGCGAATCAATAGGTCAGCAAGTCTTTAAGGAGCACCGAAGGGTGTGCATTCGTGGTGGGGATGGTGGGGTGAGGGCACAGGGCTGGCCCCTGGGCCCAGCAGGGCAGGACTGATGGCCAGTCCATTAGCACTCCAAGGAGGAAGAGCTCCAGGGCCGCTGGCGTAGGTCCAGGCAGCTTTGTGGAAGGGGTATTTCAACAGGACTTCTGTTCAGTCACTCGGACGACAGCTACTGAGGCCTGCCAGGGCTCCACGCAGACCCTCCTGTGTGAGGCTCCCAAGGACTCTGTGAGATGGGTGCTCGTGTTAATACCCCCCAGTTTACAGATGAGGCAACCTCCCCAGGTCACACAGGGAGTGAGTGTGAGAGGAGAGAGAAGGCAGGCCAGCGCAGGAGAGGCTGCAGGGGCAGAGGAAAGAGCCAGGATGGGGTCACGTGGGGCAGGACAGGAAGGGGGGCCCTCTGGAGGGGCCAGGCAGGGAGGGGTTGAAAACCACTGCAGGGGCGCCACCACCTGAGTGGATGACTCTGGCTGAGGAGGGACCCTTTGGGCGGTAACGGGCGCTGCCCACTGCTAACTCCTCGTCTGCAGCCACGCAAATAGCATTTTGTCACGTCAAAGAAAAGTGAGATGTGCCCTCTCCCGAAGCCCCTCTCTGCAGCAGCCCAGGGCTGGGATCAGGGCACACCCAGCTCTCATCTCTGCCTCCTCTCCGCCCAGATTTGCTCAGGGGCCAGTGGAGCTGGGAGGCCCTGGAATTTCCCATCCTCGGACTTCCTGATCCTCGCAGCCTCCTTTGTTTGTGCTCCTGGCGCTGGGGGAGGGCATGGGACTGTCCAGCAACTCCCCCCCACCGCCCCATCACCTCCGCCCCCTTCTCGCCCCCGCCCGCCCGGGACAAACCACCACCAAGCAGAGGAGGCTGCTCTGTTTCCTTTCTTTCTTTCTAACACGAGGCCAGGAAGCAAGGCGTCCTCCCAGCCGCCCCTTGGGAAGTCTCCATGCTGTTCCATGTCCCCCTCCTGCCCCACCTTCCTGGGACAGGAACCTGGGGCCTGCCTCTGGGGCCAGGAGCAGGCTCTGATTTCCCAGAGGCGAAAGAGGAGGGAAGGCTGGCAGAGCAGAGCAGAGCAGGGGTGCCTGTGAAAGAGCAGTCGGTGCAGCTGACCACATCCAGAGAGGCCAGCCTGGTGGGCGGAGAGAGCGTCTCCACTCTCTCAGCTGGGGCAGGAGACGGGAGGACTGGCCAGCTGACGACAGGGGTCCAGGCACGAATGCCTCTGACCATTGAGCAGACAGGGGAGCCTTTCAGGCTCTAAGGCTCTCCACTAGCAGCCTCCAGAAACCCTTCGACCCAGCAGCCAGGCTGTGGGTGCGTGCCTGGGTGGGTGATTGTGTGTCTCTTCGTGGGACACCTGGAAGCTGGCAGCCTTGTATTTGGCTGGGACAACACTGGGTGGAGTAGGGGACGAGCCGATGTTTCCCAGGCACCCTAGCGCCAAGCGCCCTGCAGAACGGGCTCGTTTAATTCAATTTCATCCTCCTGAAAACCCCAAGAGAGAAGTGTTGCACCCATTTGTTGATGGGAAGGTAAGTTCTCCTGCCTTCTGGGGGACCTTGGACAAATGATATCACTGTGCCACCTCTCTGTGCCTCCTCTCCTCAGCTGTGAACCAGGACAGACACCTCTCAGGATCGCAGCAGCTGTTATGAGCAGCTGATGTTCACAGAGGTTCTCGAAACCTGCTGGGGGACAAACAGCAGGGAGCAGGGCAGCACACCCGGGCCTGCCTGACCCCAAGACCTTCTGAGACACTGAGGCCATGCCGCCTCCGGCTCGCTTGACGTCTCCTGCTCCCTTGAGACTCTGCGTGGGCAGCCCCACTCCTAGGGACAGGGAAGTGGCGTTCGGGCTGAGGACAGGCGAGGATGGGCGTGGCACAGACCTACTCCGCCTGCCCTCTTCCTGCTGGAGCCCCTGGACAGGGAGGCTCCGGCACAGAACCCACAAAGCTGGACACGAGGACCATCCTCCACACCAGTGGGGAGAAGGCAGCAGAACAGACGGAGCCTGCAGACACCCCAGAGCAGCCCACAAGCACAGTCCCTCCTGGCCTGCCTCTGTTCCCCCAGGTTCTATGTCTGACGTCGCCAGTTGCTATGGAAACGAAAAGGACAACACAGGAGGGGACAGGCGGATGGGTGGGCAGGGACGATGCAGCTACCACCAGGACCTGCGCCCCTGGGATGCAGACCCGGGCAGGGTGGGGAGGAAGGCAGGGAATGTCTCCTAGCCCAGCGGCAGGTGCCAAGGGGGCTGTCTTAGCAGAGGGGTTGCAGCTGCTGAGCTGAGGCCAGGCCATGTGGGGCAGAGGTGGCCTCCTTCAGGCCTCGGGCGTTCTCACAATAACTGCCACAGCCTCGGTTCCCTCGTCCTGTGCGGCAGCCCTGCCCTAGGTACACGGTTTAACTCTCAAATTTCATCAGGACCCTGCCCTCTCTCCCGCTACCAGAGGTGCTGTTACTAACTCCATTTCACACCTGAGGAAACTTAGGCTCAGAGAGGTGAAGTCACTTGTTTAGGACACACGGTTACTGAGCGGCAGAGCTCAGACTCGAATGCACTCAGTGGGGCCCTGGCGCCCCCGGCTCTTAAACCAGGAACCCAGCACTTATGAGGGATGAACTACATTAACTCCTGTCCCTCATACATCAGCGGCTATCCGATGAACTCAGTGAAGTGGCCGTGGCCTAATGGCCCCCAAGGACAGGAAAGCCTCTGGGTTTGTGAAGTGGCTGCTGTCCAAAGTCGCATCAGGGACCAACTACCAGCCAGGAAAAAGACTCTGATGCTGGGAAAGATCGAAGGCAAGAGGAGAAGGGGACAACAGAGGACGAGATGGTTGGATGGCATCATCGACTCAATGGACATGAGTTTGAGCAAATTCTGGGAGATAGTGAAGGACAGCAAAGCCTGGTGTGCTGCAGTCCATGGGGTCGCAAAGAGTCAGACATACCTGAGCGACTGAACTACCAGCCAAGAGGAAAACCCCACTGGCATCTGTTCCAATGCCCTGCTGTCACTGGGCGGTGCTGTTTGTTTTCACCACATTTGGAGGATGCCACCGGGGCACCACCTGAGGAAGTGGCTCACCCTTCTGTTCCCATCCTCAGGCAAACACCCCAACACCCACTGACCTCAGCACCCTTTGCAGGCCTGATGCCTAGAAGCCCTGATAAGCCGCCCATCTGGGCACCATTTCTCAGGCTTGAGTTATGGTCACACCAGCCAAACATAATGGCCCTTCTTGCTGTGTCAAAGCCACCTTCGAACAGATGGCCCAGACTTAATGGAGGGAGGCCTCTAGGATGTTCAGGTTGAAGCTTTTGGGGGACTGAGGTGGGGGTCCTTGCAGGGAAGAGCGGGAGAGCATGGATGTCTGTCTAAGGGACCAGCTTGGACTGACCACACATACTCTGGGCATTTTCTCTTTTTTCCCTATTTTTTGGCTTCACTGTGTGGTATGCAGGATCTTAGTTCCCTGACTAGGGATCGAACTTGTGCCCCATGAAGTGCAAGTGCGGCGTCTTAACACGGGACCACCAAGAAAGTCCCTCTGGGCATTTTCAATTCTACCAATCCCCACACATCTCCAGGGTGTGCACTGGGGATAGAGGGAAGGGGACAAACACTTAGGGAGGCCTACTACTAATGGCTGTAGGGTGGCTGTAGGGTAGAAAGGCGCATGCAGCGAGGGGTGTGCTCCTGTCCCCAGGGAGGGCACAGTTGGGTCAGTGAAACCAGATCCACATGGACACTGCCGGGGGTGTGGGGGAAGACCTGGGTGGCGAGGACTGCAGAGTTTAGGAAATGGGGCGAGATGACCATTTCTGTCTGTAACCTCGGTGGGAGAAGAGAGTCTTGAAGGGCAGTAGGAACGTACTGTTGGTTTTTAAGTGAAACTTGACATTTAAAAAAAGTTAAAAAAAACACAACAAACCAAACCTAAAATGAGGCTCTCTGGGCAGCTCCATGGACCCACGCTGGCCCCTGGGAATTGTGACAGCTGCTGGTCATGCCCTTTTCTGTCCCTGCCAGCAAAGGGCAGGCCCTTCTGGGGGAGAGCCCGTCCCGTGCACAGCCTCCCCCAGGCCTCTAGCACGCCCACCTGCTCCCCTACCTTTGGGCTCCAGGCCGTTGGAATTAAAGTGCATCCTCTTCTGACACTCCGTGCAGCTCATCAGGAACCGGGTCACAGCCTCCCGTGGAAGGAAGGCGTAGGTCTCCGCGATCTGGGGGAGAGAGGAGGCTGGCTGTTACGTGGATCCGTGTGGAGGCAGCTTGCTCACGGGGTCACCAAGGGCTCTGCTTCGGTGGCAGGTACTTGGCCCTTGCCAGGAAGGGCAGGGATTTGAGGAGCAAGAGGCAGGTGTCTTAAGAGTCTCAGCCATAGAAATGAGTCAGTACTTTCAAAGAATACCAGTAGTTTTAAATTTTTAAATGAAAGAAGCTTAAAAATTATAAAAGCAAAACACTGAAACATCATATGTTCTCATAGATTGGGAATATTCCTCTCAGGTCATTTCATCACTGCTACTTAAGAATGAGTTGAGAAACACTGCTCTAGGATAGGAGGAGACAACTTCCACTCTTAGAGAAGGATAAACTGAGCCCCACTTATAAATCTACCGGCTGCGGGCCTATAACCAGAGCCCAATGCTCTACAGGCTATTCCTTGATCTATTCACAGACCCAGGAGAGCTGTGAAATGCCTCAAATTGGACAGGCTCTCAGGGAGCCCTGTGTTCCAGGCAAGGTCACAAGGCCCAGAGAAGTGAATCAATTCACTTAAGGTCACACAGCACTTTATAATAGTGCCAGACTAGAGCCGATGCTCCAGGTCACCCCCAGAGCTGCCTCCAGAGGGCCTCCCCTAGCTACGAAGAAAGAGTCAGCAGTGTGGGAGGGAAGGTGAAAGCGATGCCAGGAACACAAGAAAGCGGCTGGGTGGGTGGGGTGGGGAAGATGTGGGGTGTAATCCCAGCAGCTCAGTCCTCTCCTCTTGCTCTGGGTTTTGGGAAAAACCAGGTTGGTCCTGGTTTGGCTGCCTGAGGGGGCCGGAGGGACCTCTTGGGCCCAGGTTCTCTGGCTGAGGCCGGCAGCTGCCCGGTTGCGGGTTTTCACACATTTCCCAGAGCCCGGGCCGTCTCGCTCCTCTCCACTAAGGGGCAGCATCACCCCAGCGTTCCTCTGTCCTCGCCGCAGCCCAGCCGAGAAAGTTGGCCGAGGGCGCTGGTCAGCCCACAGCACGGGGCTGGGGGGGGCGGGGTGCGCTGCTCTCCAGGACGCACCTGGTCTCTTCCTTCGGGATGCACACACACCCTGCTCCATCTCTGTGGTGGCCAGGAAGGGGCGCAGGGCGGGGCAGAGAGGAGGGGACTAAGAGGGTTGCCAGGCGACCCTTCCCCGCGATCCCCGCCCTGCGGCCAGGACCTTGGAGGACAGCCTTGGGCTCTGCTGCCTGTGGAGCTCCACAGGCCACTCCTGCCTAGCGGCCGGCTGCAAATGCAGAGTTAATTTTGGTGACACAATTGTTATTTCTCAGCTGATTTGATGCTCTGCGGAGCAGGCAGGCTCCTTGATGAGTTATCTCCCTTCCAAATTCTTTGTCTGATTGCCTTCCTCTGGAGGTCAGGGACAAGGGCAAACCCCTGCTCTCTGATTGGAGCCAGTGGATGGGAAGGCGTGAGGGCCAAGGCATGGGGCGCTCCTGCCACACACGGGCCATCTTTATCCCTAGCCTGGGGCCACCTAGAAATCTCAGGGCCCACGGGGTTGGGAGGGACGGGTCCTGTTGAGGGGCTGACAGCTATAGGAGTAAAGGGAAGAGGGAAGGATGCCCTCTGGGTCAGGCAGAGGGCTGAGGCTGAGTTGGGCCAACAGATGACCTCCTAAGGAACTGAGCTGGGGCATCCCAGGTCAGGCCTCAGAAGAGCTGAGTTGAGCACGTGGAGGAGGAGGGTTGCAGTCTGCTGAGAGAGGAAAAAAGGTTGATACCATGGGGAAAGCCCGACTTCAACGCATGGAGCTCTTTGACCGCCGGGTAGAGACAGATTCTACAGGGCTCAGGGAGGGCCTTCCTGGCGGGGCTGCTCTGCTGAGGGCTGCCCGTGGCATGGGCAGAGGCCCTGCCTGCTGCCTGGCCCACTGAAGACACAGGGGCAGTTACCAGAAAGTGCCCAGGGGCCTGGGCCTTAGCAGGGACCCAGCAGATGCCAAGGCTGGCTGGAGTGCCACAGGGAGGTGGTGCCCTAGGTGCACAACTTCTGGCTCTGGAGCCCATGGAAGGGCAGATGGGGCGAAGCCAAGGCAGGTGGGTGAGAAGCCCCTGGAGCTGTCCGAGGGCCCTGTGCAGCTGGATGGTCTGCAGCCTTGCTAAGAGCTCCCGTGGGGCGTCAGTAAAATGTCCAGCTCTGCGCTGCTGTAGGGACCCGAATGGAGAAGGAGGATGCCTTCTCCCACCGAGGCCTTCAACCTCCTGTGGGCATCTTTTGGTTCATGCTCCTGCCTCGTCCACGTGAAAAATGGGACCTCCGTTTCTGTTTGGCTGCACAGATACCCGAGGCCACAGGACCACAGGGTGAGCTGAGACACGGAGGATCATCCCAGCTGATGCCCTAGTCAGCAGGATGGTGGTTTTCTGATAGTTTTAGAGCTACAGACACTGTTCTGGAAATAGACTCTTATCCTGAAGCCCGAAACGTGACACAGATAAAGACGGAGCTGCTGCATATAAGAAGGGGCCCATCCCCGCCCAGCAGCTCTCAGTGGCCTTGGACTGTGTTGCCTTGCTCTCAGGCCTCCAGCCTGGATGCTGAGACCGGTACCTGAATCTGCCTTTTACGTTTTTCTTACTGGGAAAAGCTGAGTGAGATTTCATTGGGAAGGAGCACAGAAGCTATTTGCAGAGTCGCTGACTTGCAAGGCCCCATTTTCACTCCCCAACTCAGAGGCTGACAAAGACAGATGAGGCCAATTGGGGGGATTTGCACCACTTTACAAGATCCTCCTTCTGCCCTGCGGGCGGATTAGCACGTGGTGGGCCTGGAGCAGCTGCTGACCACATCTGGCCCCAACTCCAAAGTGGTCTGGGCAGTCAGATCAGGGCTCCAGAGCCCGACCTCCTCGCCTTCCAGCACCCCAGGAGAGAGGAAGGAAGCAACAAGGCTCGCTCTGATTCAGGTGGGTGCAGATATCAGGGCTTCCCTGGTGGCTCAGTTGGTAAAGAATCTACCTGCAATGTGGGAGACCTGGGTTCGATCCCTGGGTTGGGAAGATCCCCTGGAAAAGAGAATGGCTACCCACTCCAGTATTCTGGTTTGGAGAATTCTGGCCTGGGTCCAAACAGTCGGATACGACTGAGCGACTTTCACTTTCATTAGACATCAGAAACAAACTTCCCTGGTAAAGAATCCACCTGCAATGCAGGAGACCCCGGTTCGATTCCTGGGTCGAGAAGATCCCCTGGAAATGGGATAGACTACCCACTTCAGTATTCTTCAGCTTTTCTGATGGAAAAGAATCTGCCTGCAATGTGGGAGACCTGTGATAGATCCCTGGGGTGGGAAGATCACCTGGAGGAGGGCACGGCAACCCACTCCGGTATTCTTGCCTGAAGAATCCCCATGGACAGAGGAGCCTGGTGGGCTACAGTCCATGGGGTCTCAAAGAGTCAGATACAACTGAGTGACTAAGCACAGACATCAGAAACGCTCCTTGAAAAAGGACCAGTCCTCTATGTGGGCTCAGGGAACTTTGTAGAACACACAGCTCTGCCTTGGCAAGACTCCCTGGGATCCTCTAGACCTCAGGCCATGAGGCATCAGAGGCAAAGTTAAGGCAGGGCTTCCTGCCCAAGATGGGGACTCCCTGTAGTGTCTGTTGTCAATGGTCATCAACCCCTGGCTCATAGACCTACAGTTTCAGAAAGCTCCTTACCTGCCCTCCCTGATCCACTGCTGGCAGTGGTAGGTGCTAAAAAGTTCTCTTCCTATTGAAGAGTGTGCCTCCTTTAATGCTTTGAACAAGACTGCCATCTCCCCTGCAGTCCCCTGCTCCCTTGGGCACCCCAGGCCTGTAAGACTCCATAAGGTCTCAGGTGCCCCCAGACAGCAAGGCAGTCCCAGAATTCAGGTTTGGCAAAGCATACACAGACAGGTCCAAAAACCCCTCCACAGAGCCTGATGCAAACCCCAAGGTGACAGTCTGTGCCTCTCTGCAGCCATCAGCACTGAGTCTCCTAGTGGGCATGGATGGGGCTGAAGAGATAGGCTTGGGTTGAGGCAAATGGGAGCAGGTGAAAAGAGGAGGACAAAAGCGTCCCCATCACCCCGCCCCCCAAAAGGAAAAGGGTGACAGATGGGGAAGTGGGGGAAGGGAGAAGAGGTGCACGGGAGAGGAAGGGGGTGCGGTGGTCCCCTTGGCCTCACACCCACAGCAGGAGGGCCTGGCCTGCTCCCTCTGCCTTGGCCCTGCTGCTGAAATTCCAGCTCTGAGCGCAGCCCAGCTGGCTCGTTGCCAGTCATGTGCCAGCTCCAGGCTGGGCAGCGGGAAGTGGGGCACGCGGCGGGCATATGGACGAGAAGCCAGGAAGTGCAGAGCCAAGGGCTGGACGTCCGTTTGGCCCAGAGACACAGAGCCTGCTGGGCGCAGCCAGCCTCGCCCTCTCTGCAGCACGGAGGTCGCAGACCCCAGCCTTAATCAACACCCAGGAAGTGCCTGAGGGTAAGGCTTAGGGCTGGGTACCCATGGGACCAGGGAAATCACACAGTCCAGTCAGCCTAAGCCTATCTCCTCTGACAAGCAAGTCAGTGGGCTTGCGAACTGGCCACAAGACGTTTGCAGCGAGGCAGAATGTCTAGTGGTCAGGGCACAGGCTCTGGGCCAGATGCCTGACTCTGAACATCAGCTGGGTGACCTCAAGGCAGGCTTAATCATCTCTCCGAGCCTCGCTTTCCTCCTCTGTAATGGTAGCGCCTGCTTCATCCTTATACCCTTCATCCACGTGATGGCTTTGAGAGCTGGCGCAGGGGATGTGCCGAGTGCACAGCCATGGCTTCCAGCATGGCAACTTCAATGCTGAGAAAGTGCACGGGGTATCATCAGCACCAAGGGGCCCACACGGGCCCCAGCTCAGGAGTCCTTCCCTCCATTTATGATCCTCCAGTGGAAATACCCTCAGAACTCCCTTCCCACAAGTCACTCCCCAACACACGAGTGCTGAGCTGCAGGGTGGGGCAGGTGGTACAGTCATCTCCTGCTTTCCTCAGCCTGACCCCTCCTCTCTCTGAGGTCTTTGGCATGTGGGTCCATCCTTAAGACACATTTAACAAAGGTCATCTTCTGAGATCACAGACAAACCAGATGGTTGGATTTTTTTTTTTTTTTTAATCAGGCCATATGGGGAAATTATAGACTTACACAGGTCACCTCTACCACACTCCAAGGCTATTCAGAAAAGAACTTGGAGGGGTTGGCATCTACCTTGGGTAAGGAAGGCCCATCACAGAGGGGCAGGTCTCTAGGAAGCCAGAGAGAAAGTCAACACAGCGGGGAGTGAGACGCTGGCTGAATGCTGCCTCAGTGCTGTGTGACCTTAGAGTGGCAGTTTAACTCCCTGGGCCTCAGTTTCCTTAACTGTGAAATGGGCCACAGTGCCTCCATCCCAGGACTGCTGTGAGGCTTGAATGAACATAAAGCGCTTGGTTTCCTGGTTTAGTGGTGGGTGCCGGACAAGTGGTTCAGAGCTGGGGATAAGCCATGGCAATGGGGGCCAATGTGGGGACGCTACCAGAACCCAGGCAGGCTGTGACCACTATCCCCCTCCACAGTCTTAAGTGTGATGTTTCCCATCCTAGGCAGCCACCTCTGCTCCCTTCTGCCTGCCCAAAGCTTAGACTGCTAGCTGACCCGCCGCCCTCTCCGTGAAGGCCCCTTGCCTTAGCACTGAATGTTGGTGTCTGGAGGGACCTTGGCTGAACGCCCAGGTGCCTGGGTTCTTGTTCCCCTGAAGCGAGTCTTGGAGACATTTCTGTTTCTCTCAGGCTCCCCAACCCCAATCAAGCTGTGCTGTCCTTGAGGGCAGGGCCCAGGTCCTCAGAAGTCCCCTGGGGAACTTCTAGCATTGACTTGCAGGGGTGAGTATGAGGACAGGTCTGGCACACAGCGAAGGCCACGGAAGCATTTGCTCTGCCGATTACTATTATCTGGCCTCCCCCTCCCCCAATGGAGCGAAGCAGAAACCAGGAAGAGGAGAGCTTGCCTCCTGCCCTCCTCTCCCTCTCTTTCCCTCCCTCTCACCCCCTTCAACCTGCTTCTCCTTTGTGCTCTGACCACAGAGCCCGCCCCCTCACCCTGCGAGCCATCTCTGGCTGCCATGCCCTTGCCCCGTGCCCCCCTGGATCCCCAAAGGCCGTTTCATCACGCCTCAGCTCCCTGCCCCGCCCCCTGCCCAACATGTGCGGAGCCCATGGCCTCCTGCCAAGGCCTGGGGCTGCCAGCAGAAGCCAGGAGACAGAAATCTCACCGCTCGGTAGGTTTTCTTCTGCCCAGCGTGCTTGGGGGCTTTGCCGGGCTCCGCTGAGCTCTCCACATGCATCGAGTAGATGATGTCAAAGAAATCTTCCACCACAGCGACCCGCTTCAGAGAGATGCCCTCCGGCTCCGACAGGCCATCTGCCCCCTGCGACAGGGTGGACAAGCTGTGTTAGTGTCAGGGATGACGGCGGGGTGAGAGCTGGGCCCTGCGGCCAGGCAGCGGGACGGGGGCAGGCACGCTGCTGCTCGCTGACCCCCGCCAGGCCTCCTGAGGGTAGGTCTGGGGGGACCTGCGGGGGGACAGGAGCCTGCTCAGAGGGCCACAGGGAGGGGGCTACCAGAGTCAAGGGTGGCTGCTGCTACAAAATCTACCAGAAACAATGGACAGAGAGAAACAAGGAAAAATACAAATTAAAAAACCAAGAGCCTCCATGTTCACAATTTCAGACAGATTGTGCCAGACTCAGGCGGGGAGCTTTCGAATTGCACGCTGTGCCAAGACCATCCTAGAAGTCTCTGGGGAGGTGGGGAGGGGGGTGCTAAATAGATGCGTCCCCATCAGGAGCTCGCCAATTAGCAGTAACCTTTCACTGTGGTCCCGGGCTGGGGGCCCAGGGGAACGGCTCACATCACCTGGGTGACTCCTGCCTCGCCCTGGCCTTTCAGAAAAGCTTTTCACCGCTGCCCGCCTCTCCACTCCAGCAGCTGAGCGCCAGCAACAGCACCCGGGCTCTTTGTGTGTGGAGACACAGAAATAACACACACAAGGCCATGTGGAGGTGGCAGGCCGTGTGAGTGGGGTGACCGTGGGGCCCCCCCGAGCCTCTTACTGGGCTGGCACGAGTGTTGTCAGCTGGCCCCGCAAAGGTGTGCCAGGATCTCAGGGGCACTGGGCTCTCTGCCACCCTCTCCCTAAGGGGAGACCTGGAGGGCTCTGAGGGGGGCGTCAAAGAGGAAGAGTAAGCAGAGGGGTGGGGGGGGGATTTAGGAAAAAGGAGGCAGAATTTTCTGTAAAAGTGCTCGGAACACAAATCTCCCAGAGGATTCTTCCCCCAAGGACCTCCGTTCAAGAATGTCGGCTCTTTGGAAGAGGGAGTGGAAGTGTGTGGGGCGGGGGTTCTTCTGTCGGCTCACAGCTGTCTCCCTAGCACCGGGAACGATGCCCAACACATAGTAGGCTCAATAAATAACCTCCGAATGACGGCCTGGTTATAAGCAGCCGCCAGGAGGGGTGGTTCAGCCACGCGCTTCTTCAGTGTCAGTTGGGCCCCACCGTTTAAGTGGCTATGTGACTCAGAGCAGGTATCTTGCTTCTCTGAGCCTCGGGTCCTTTATCGAGAAAATGGGGATAACAGAAGGCCCCTTCCCATGAGCTATGGAGAGGAGTCAATGAAATATACGTGCAACTCTTAGCACCAAGCCCGACCACGGGAACTGCTGGATAAATATTGTCATTAAGAAGTGCTTTGCCGACTGCCAAGTTTCCCCTAGCCAGGACGGGGCTGAACATCGCAACCAGCCTGGGAGACTGTGAGGGTCAGGACCTGCCTGTGCAACGGTGGCTGGTAAGCGGAAGGGCTGGCGCAGGACGTTGGTCCTTGTCATCAGAGGGGAATTGAGGCCACAGTGAATGCGACGCTCACTCACAGCACATCCTGGCCACAGTCAGGGTTTGCTTTTATCCTGCAACTTTCTCAACCTGCCATGGTAGGATAGTGGGGCTGTCTCTTTGCCAGTGGCCCACTTGAGAGCAGATGGGAGAGGAAAGGTATCTGGGGTGTAGGGGCCAAACCCTAGACCTAGTGGGCAGTGTCCATGAGTGATGACCCTGGGTGCTGACCTCACTGGCCTTGCACAGGCCCTCGAGCCAATGGCTTTCTCCCAAGTTAGCATCCATTGCAATGGGGACGGACTTATCAGCAAGTATCTGGGGGGGTGTATGTGCGCCCACCTGTGTAGAAAGAGTTGCCTGCTGGTCCTGCTTGCCTGCTGTGAGATTGTAGGCAAACTCTTTAACCTCCCCGAGCTTCACTTATGAGGTAGAAAATTCCATACTCTTCTTTTTTTAAACCCCCTCAGAAGTAACTGTTATCTCTTTCTTGAAGGTATCTGAATTCCTGGGCTCATCAGTGACTAACTCATTCATTAGCTCATGTGTAACTACCAGTATTTTAGAGATCTTCAAATACTGCCATGGTAGAGCTGAATGGGACAAATATTATGACAGGTTAGTTATAAGACACTTCTAACCAGAGGTTCATGTTGGCAAAAACAAACAAAAGAACCTCCAAGAATGAAGGTATAACTGGGTTTCTATTTCTTGATCAGGATGGGTTCAGTTTATAAAAAGCCATTGATCTGAACACTTACAATTTGTATACTTTTCTGTGTTCTGTTAGGCTTCCCTTGAGGCTCAGCCGTTAAAGAATCTGCCTGCAATGTGGGAGTCCTGGGTTTGATCCCTGGGTTGGGAAGATTCCCCTGGAGAAGGGAAAGGCTACCCACTCCAGTATTCTGACCTGGAGAATTCCATGGGCTGTTTAGTCCATGGGGTCACAAAGACTCAGACAAGACTGAGTGACTTTCAGTTCATTGTGTGTCTGTTAATTTGTGTTTTGTTCTGTTAATTTTTTTTCTTACCACCAAATGTGTTTGCTAATTTTAAAAGGTATATTTTTTAAAAAGTATAATGGGGTAGGTAGTTCCAAATTTTGATAATTTGAAACCAGAGGCATAATAATGGGTTTAGCTGCTTACAAGTGAATAGACCTCTCTGTTCATAAAACTGCTTCAGGCCAGAACACAGACACTTCTGGAAAAAGTTTACAAAATTGGATGAGAAGGAGTGGAGAAAGAAAACAATCTGATGAAAGATAATATTTTAGATAGATGGGATGGAAAAGTGTCTCCTAACCAGCTTGGGCAGGTCACTTTTGACCTCTTAAAACTCATTTTCCTCACACCTGTAAAATGAGCCTACAAAATCCTAGTTGGATGCGGTTCCAAGGCTAAGTAAGAATATGTCAGGCATCTGCCACACACAGGCTTGTAAACATTCATCTCTCCCCTTCAGACCCACAGAGTGTGGACATTCTGTGTTTAGGGATCCATTCTCATCTCCTGTCCCTCTAATCCATTTAGGTTATAGAAGGGGTCCCCCAAGGTAATAATCACCAGCAGAAGAGATACAAAGTCTTATGCAAAATAACCTGCTAAGGCTGTCACACAAACTTGGAATAAGTTTTCCTAAAGTCCAAGTATAACTAACTAACCCAGATTAAAAGCAAAACACGCCTCTGTCCCAGTCTTCCACCTCCATTCATAGGCAGATCATAGGCAGATGTGGGTAATCAACCTGGCCCAACATGACCATAAAATTATCTCAGAGAAACTCTTCAGGCATGCTCCCTCTTTAAAAATGGATTATGAGGACCACTTCCCTGGTGGTCCAGCAGTTCCCATGCAGGGGATATGGGTTCAACCCCTGGTCAGGGAACTAAGATCCTACCTGCTGTGGGGCAACTAAGCCCTCAAGCAGCAAGGAGAGAAAGTCAGCATGTGGCAATGAAGACGCAGCACAGCTTAAAACAAAACAAAACAAGGACTGTGCTCTTCCCTGCTGTTCAACCCTGGGTCCTGTAATCGGTCTATCTCAACTGTAGAGACGTACACAGGAAAGAAGAGGGCCCTTAGCAACCAGAATTCAAACCACACAAGGTCTGCAGAGCCACACCTTGAACTGTCCTCTGGTGAGCTGCGGCCACCTGGACACCATGTGTACTACACCCTGAGGGAGGAACACCAGGATATCTGTGTGGCCTTCAAGGAGAACCCTGGGAAGAGAACAAAGGGATCTCACGGCAGTCACGTGCTGCAGACATCTCTGCCATGCCCTGCATCCATAGAGGTAATAACCTTCATGCTAAATGCAGCAGGAGAGGCATGCTTTTCCTAGCTGAGAATCCAGACGCAGTATTACAAGACAAAAGCTGCTAATTAAGGGATCGGACATCACCTTCTCCTTAGCCTTGGGATGCCCCTGCCAACCACCTCTGCTTAGTGCCCGAGTCAGCTTAGTCTGATCCATAGCCCTAAGCAGCCTGGGCCCTGGGTTGACAAAGGAGGCTCACTTCATTTACAGGCTGGATAAAGAGTGGGGCTGGATGGACCTTCTTGACTATTCCCCACTTCCTGGGAATGCCAACCAGGAGTGATGGCAATGGAGCCCTGCAGCACCCCCGGGGAAAAGCCATGAAACACACATGGTCAGTTGTGCAGGACCAACCTCTGGGGCCTTCCTGCGTGGGGGAGAATATTGCCATGGTAACATATACTACATCTTTTTGAAACAGCTAATTCCAAAACAGCCAGTCAGACTTGGGCCAACAAAACCAGACATGGCAATAGCTTTTAAAAATTCAAGGAAGGGGGTTCCCTGGTGGCTCGGTGGTAAAGAATCTGCATGCCAATGCAGGAGACGTGGGTTCAATCCCTGATCCAGGAAGATCCCACATGCCTCAGAGCAACGAAGCCGGGGTATCACAACCATTGAGCCAGTGCCCAGAGCCTAGGAGCTGCAACTACTGAAGCCCATGTGCCTTAGAGCCCATGCTCCACAACAAGAGAAGCTGCTGCTGCAATGAGAAGCCTGTGCACCACAACTAGAGAAAAGCCTGCGGGCACCAAAAACCCAGCACAGCCAAAAATAAATAAATAAATACATTTAAAAAATTCAGGGAGGGGCTTCTCTGGTGGTCCAGTGGCTAAGACTCTGTGCTCCCAATGCAGGGGGCCAGAATTCAATCCCTGATTGGGGAGCTAAGATCCTGTACGACATACAGCACAGCCCCCTCCCCAAATACACAGAGCTGCAAACTTTCTTGGATATTACTATCTTCTTTAAAACCAGCCTATTTGAGTTCTAAAGGCCAGATTGAGAGTCATTGAGGAAATCACCAAATGTCTACTTAAGTAAGGCTGGTATTTCAGAATATTTATAACAATGGTTGGGCTTCCCAGGTGGTGGCTAGGGGTAAAGAACCCACCTGCCAATACAGGAGACTTAAGAGACTCGGATTCGAGCCTCTTAAGTCTGGAGACTTTAAGAGACTCAGAGAAGGAGGACATGGCATCCCATTCCAGTGT